TGATACTTAAAACCTATGCTAATTAAGGCCCCAATTTAGTTTTTTTTCAGTATAAAATGGGTCTGTTGGGCTACAAATTACTGCTGGTAAACCAGGATTGCTCCAGGAGGTGGCAAAATGGGGGCTTTAAGCACAGGGAGTTATAGATTTTTTAAAAAGAAGAATGTAGTAAACTCAAAATAATTAATGAGTTGGTTTTACAGCTTGTCTATGTTGTTGTTTTTTTTATTCTTGCAACATTTAATATCATTGTTTCTATTAAGATATAAGAAACCCCACAGAATAATTTATATACTTAAATGAACAAGTGCTGTTGTAATCAGAATAAATATTTGTGTTAGCAGGCTGCTAATGCACATCTCTTATTGAAGGCACACAGCTTTCTCTCTCCCAAGATCCTGAAGGAATGTACCAACTAATGAACCCCTTGAAAATAGTCATAGCTGTATGCCATGAGAGGAATCTTATTGGATTTCAAGAGGCAGTTTTTGCTTTTTTAAGTATTGACTGATTTTTTTTGCAGAATATCAGGCTATTCAGGAACTCTCTGCATGTCACAGTTGAAGAATATGACAAATGTGTGTTAAATATGTAGCAATGTGAGCCCTTTTTAAATAAGGAGTTGAAACAAAAGCCTTAGATGTTAGAAAATTTGTCAAATACATCCCTGCCACTTTGCAAAGCATGTCTGATTTTAAAAAAGGAAAAGTTTGTGCCTTTTAGTAGTCCCTTTTTGCCTTGTTTAATCAAATCCAAATACAGACACATATGTCCATAACAAATAATCCAACAGGAATTTATAGATTTGATAAAATTTTTCTGCAGGTATTTTCTTTTTCTTTATATCTTTGGAGGGTTTTGGTATTGTTTAGCGTTTTGCAGGGAGTTTGTTTCAATGTCTTTGTTTCATTGTGTAACTTTTAACCTGGCTTAAACTGGATCAGCATTGAATTAGCTTGTACAATGTTAGGAAAATTCAAATCCATTCAGATGAATAAACAGTTGTGGACTGTTAGAAGGTGCTGGTATGGTTAAGAGAAGCTTAGATGAGTTATCAGTTTGCTGTTGTTTACTGGTGACTTTGCCACAGAAAGAAGGGAAAATAATCACCAAAACTTCATTATTTTACCAGGACTTCAGACAAGATATAAACTTCATATAATTAGTCTCAATTTAGCTGCTTTGAAAATTCTTTGTTAATAATGGTACTCACTGTTAAATAATGATGTATATGTTGTGAATGAAGATGCTATAGAGCAGTGTTTCCTAACCAGTGTACCGCAGCACACTGGTGTACCATCAGGCACACTGGTGCAGCGTGCCTGCTGCTGTTGCAGCAACAGTCAGATGGGGAGCGTGGCTCCAGCCAGGCAGGGGGCGTGGCTTCAGCCCCAAATGCCATCCGGCTGGCTGCACACCACCCTCCCCACCTCCCTCCCTCTGGATGGCCGCATGCACACATGCACGCACACACACACATGCACACACTGTGTCCGATGTGCCATGGTGCTTTTTTTATTTAGGTAAGTGTGCCGTGGGGCAAAAAAGGTTGGGAAATGCTGCTATAGAGTGTTCTACAACTATCAAAACCTCCAGCCCTGCTCATACAGCTTACTTTCACCAACCTGTTAGTGACCAATGACAAGTGTTTTCTGCAGCATGTGGAAGAAAATGCTAGGCTGTATTTGGACCCACTTTGGTAGAATGTGTGCTGTAAAATTATTCATGAACTCTTCAGAAACAGCACTTCTAGGGAGAGCCCTCCTCCATGTCAGGTGAGCAGCTGTATTCATGCCTTAAGCACACACACAGGCCTGAAGTGTTCTGTGGGGATAAATGGAGGAGCAGAACTGTAAAACATATTAGCCTCTTCTTAACTGCACCTCATTTTCATGTGAAGAAGCTTGGTCCTGGTTTCCAGGCAATCTAAATGTTATGTCTCGTAGCAAAATTTCCTGATTGGTAGAATAAGGCTGTTATATTAGCAGTGTTCTTGACATGGACAGTAGTTCTCAAAAATATGTCCACATAAATACCCAGATTATAGATTAATAGATTCATAGACATTAGGGCTATGATCGTAAGATCATTGGGTCCAGTCCCCTGCCCAAGGGGCACAAAGTCAGGTGGGGTCAAAGGGTCCCAGCAAGATAAGTGCCCAAATGTTCCTTAAAAGTGGCCAGAGTAGGTGCTTGCACTACCTCTGGGGGGAGTCTATTCCAGGCCTTGGGGGCTTGGACAGTAAAGAAGTTTTTCCTTATGTCTGGCATAAATGGTCTTGTAAGAATTTATGACTGTTTGACCTTGTCATCCCTTGGGGTGCTCTGGTGAACAGGTGTTCCCCCAGATCCTGATGGATGCCCCTTATGTACTTATAAACTGTCACCAAGTCACCCCTGAGCCTGTGCTTTTCCAGGCTGAAGAGCCCCATGACTCTCAGCCTGTCTTCATAAGTCCTGTTCTCTAGCCCTCTGGTCATGCATGTGGCTCTTCTCTGAACTCTTTCAAGCTTTTCCACATCCTTACTGAATTGTGGGGCCCAGAACTGGATGCAGTACTCTAGCTGCGGCCCCACCAGGGCCGAGTACAGCAGGAGGATGTTATCTTGGGTCTTGCTCGAGATGCATCGGTAGATACGAGCAAGCGGTGATATCACAGTGGTGCTTCATAATCATCTTGTGGTCAGTCATGATCCCCAAGTCCCTTTCAACCATGGTGCTAGCAAGTGCTGAGCCTATAAGTGTGATGTGGGTTTTTTTCTCCCTAGGTGGAGCACCTTGCATTTCTCTGTATTGAATGCCATCAGGTTTTCATCCACCCACCTTGCAAGCCTATCAAGATCAGCCTGGATCACCAGCCTATCCTCAAGTGTGGACACTCTTCCCCAAAGTTTGGTGTCGTCAGCAAGCTTGGCCAGTCCACTTCTGACACCACAGTCCAGATCGTTTATAAAGATGTTAAAGAGTACAGGTCTGAGAACAGAGCCTTGAGAAACACCAATGGCCCCTGAGTGCCATGTTGATTCAATTCCATCAACTACCACTCTCTGGGTCCGACCTCAGAGCCAGTTTCCCCAGCCATCGGACTGTAAGGTAGTTGAGGCCGCAGTTGCCCAATTTTTCCAGGTGAGAGACTTTTTAAAAGTCCAAATGTATGATGTCTACCTCTTCCCCTTTGTCCAGGTGGTGTGCCACCTGGTCATAGAAGGAAATGAGATTAGTCAGATAAGACCTACCCACAACAAACCCATGCTGGCTGTCACTCAGAAAGTTGCCTTCTTTTAGCTTATCAAGAATGGTTTCTTTGGTAATTTTTTCTAAGATCTTTCCAGGAATTGAGGTTAAACTGATTGGCCTGTCATTTCCTGGATCTTCTTTTCTCCACAAAATAGTTATTAAGCAGTTTGGCTTTTGCCCAAGTGTCAGTTGTCAGCTGTCCAGTGTTGCCCTTGTTTTTCTTCCGACTCTCCACATATTTGAAGAAGGACTTTTTATTGTCCTTGATTTGTGTAGCCAATTAGAGTGTGGTTGCAGCCTTGGCTTTCCTAGTCGACTCCCTACAGGTGCGGACCAGTGCAGCACATTCCTCCTTAGTGGCATTTCCTGTCTTCCATCCTTTATAAGCCTCTTTTAGATGTAAGAGGTCCATGAGTTCCCTGCTGAGGCAAAGGGGTTGCTGAGCCCTTTTACTACCTTTCCTACAAGTTGGGATGGACTCTCCTTGAGCTTCTAGGATCACTTCTTTTACTGCAACCACTCATCAACCATTCATCATGCACTCCCCCCTCCCCCCCGGTCAAGTTGCGGTTTCTCAGGGCCTTGCCAACAAGCCTCCTGAGCTTATGAAAGTTGGCTTTCCCAAAGTTGATGACTTTTGCATTGCTGACTGACTTGCCAGCTTTGTGATGGCGCGCGCGCGCGCACACACACACACACAGAGTAGTTCTAAGCATAGGGGTAAATTAAGTATGCAATTTATCCACATTTTGGAAAATCAGTCCCTGAAGAATAAGTAGACTCACTGACAGAGGGTCAGAAACACAGTGATCATAAATTAGCACAGCTCCTTTGAGATTTCTAAAGCTGCCTGGATTTGCAGTTGTCTTTAGAGTTGTTTTTATTATTAACAAAAGATCCTAAAAACTTTTAAGTACCTGGTAACAGAGGCGTGCCCTGACTTCTGCCTCTGAAAAAGGAGAAGGGCCATCCTTATAGGCTATCGTTTTAGCCTCCTGGCAGTTTCCAAGGGAAGAACTTCCCTTGTGTCCTGACCCTGAACTTGCCACCTAGAGCCTTAAGCATCCCTTTACTTCCAGCAGCAGTCTTGCCCAGTAGCATAACAAAGCAACCAGAGCAGTAGCTCTGGGCATCACCTTTGAGGAGGATGCAAAAATAGCTACTATTACAGTGGTCGCTGATTGCACTGTCACAGTCAGGATGGCAGCAATCCCATGTGCCCAGTAAATCGTGGCTGCATCAGGCACAGAGGTGCCCTGCTACACCTGTGGTCTTACCATGTTCAATCTGCTTATCTGTGCTATTTTGTGACCCAGGTGCCCAAAATGCTCAGTCCCAAAGGGCCAGGCTTTGGGAGCAAGGCACAGCAATATAAAGTATGTATGCCTAAAAACCAGGAACCTGTTTTACTATGTTTTGCCAAAACAAATGTGCTTCTGTACTGACAACTCCAGTTACATCCTGGTTGATGCGATTAGGTGAAAATCTCAGCTTTCAGTCTAAAAGTAAGTGGTAAGCCCTGGCTGGGTTGTAGAGGGGTCAGGAAAGCTTGAAAACAGGACTCAAATGCATTCTAACTGCTAAGAAGTTAGACTTTTAGACTTCTTTATTTTAAAACTCGTGATTTTTTAAATTAGTGTCATGATCTGGGGGCAGGCTTATTTTGAATGTTTGCAGTTGGCTATGTGGGGTGTGTGAGTCGCTATGAAAGGGGTGTGTACAATTCTTGTAAAAGACTTGTTCATGTTATAATTTTGATTTTAGGAAGGATTGAAGAGCAGTCTTGGACAGCAGCTGTCATCCGATCATTACATCTTGTGTGGCAAGCAGTAAAGGGACTACTAATTTTAGGCATGTCTTTTCTCATTGCTGCTCTCTGGTACTGCAGAAGACTCTACACATACTTAGCACAGCTGTTGAAATGGTATGTGTTTACAATGCCATCTGTAGTTTTCTATGGTATTTTGTTTTAGTAAATATTTACTTTCTGCAAACAATTTATTGATGACTTTTACTATTTGGTTTTCAGGTGGAGTAGATATCTGCAGAAAAAATTCATAAGTAAGTTCTTCTGTTATCAATTCATATTATATCTCTTTTCCTTTAAATGTAAGAATGCCAAAATTAACTAATATGTGACTTAAATCTGGTTTAGAGAACCTCAGCGTGTTGGCAGAAGTTGATTTACTTGGTTATTGTGCAAGAGAATGGAAAGGAGAAACAAAGCAAGCCATACAGATGAGAAAGGTAAGATTTAAACTTGTATCTAAGTATCAAATTGGTGGGAGTGGGGATGAAGTTCTATCCTGTTTTTTATGCAAACATTTGTTACAAGCTATAGATGAGTGCCAGTTCATATCTAACTGCTTAAAAAAAGAAAAATGGGCGGCTCTTCCTATGGCAATGGTTCTAAATAACAAACAAGAGCTAAGTGTTGCTCAGAATATGGACCAGGTCCTCACTCCTGATGAGTGATTCCTCATCCTTTTCCCACTGCTTCCCCAGCACAAAGGGGGCAGAGAGTAATCGTGAGTGGGAAGCTGGAGATGGCCTAGTGATGGGGAAATTAATGATCATTGTACAGCTAAAAAACACGTCCTAAGACACCTTGGCTAAGTAGAGACAGTCAAAAAGCCCAAGGCTGAATTGATTCAATCTTCTCAAGTTAGTCTAAACTGCATAGATTGAACCAACAAGCAAGTGAACAGACATTCACTTCAGATTCTGGAAATGCAGTCACATGCCTGCAGTGGCCCAAGCCAAAACCCAAGGGGTGCTAGAGCACACTTCCCTTCTCTGCTGGAGCAGACTTGTGCCAAGGCTAGCCCATCTGCCCTGCAAGCAGGGGCTTGTGGGAGAGGTGCAAAGCACCCTGGGTTGCTGGTGGACTGTGAGTTAGCTTGAATATGGAGGGGATCTAAGACAGAAGTTCAATAAGCTGATATAACCTAAATCAGTTAAGTCTGATATTACATCCATCCAGGCTTATCTTAAACTGTTTTTTGCCATTCTGAAAACACTTTCTGTGCACTGAACTTCTGTTGTGCTACAGATTTGAACCTGTTTCTAATCACCAGGGATTCTGGTTTTCTGTGTTTAAAATTTCCATATTCTCTGATAAAAATAAATAAGTCCCAAATTCTCTGATTAAAAAAACCTAAAACCTGTGTTCTTCTGTGATTTAAATGAAACACCACTATATATATATAGGTATCCATTTAACACAATGTTAAATGAGGGACCAGAGGAACTTAATTGTCTCTTCCAGCTCTGGGTCCTGAGCTTAAGCATGGCCTGGCCAGACTTTAGTGATCAGAATCTATCCTCAGTCAGCACAGTCACAGGTCCAGCAGCAACAAAAGTAGTAACAGAATTGCTTTCTAATTGCAAGGAAACCAATTTTAGCTGTAATATAAATTATTCTTCTCAATGCAGGAAAAAAAAATTCAAATGAGTATATGCTCAAGCACCTTGGTTGACCATGACTTTCCCAGTATATAATAGAAAGAGGTACTATCACAGGACTCAAGCCAACTTGGCTTCAGATACTACTGCCAATATCTTGAGTGATATCCAAAAATAAAGCCCCAAAGGGCATCTTTTGTCCTTTTTTTTGATTCATTGCTGGACAAGTGAGAGAGATAATAACCTTCACTGTTTCTGAAAATCTGCTCTGTAAGCATTGTTCTTAAGCTGACTTTAATAAAGTAAAAGTATTTTTTGTAGAGTAGAACAATACAGACAAAGATAAACATACAGACACACTTTCAGAAAAAATAATACAGTTCTTTCTTTACATAGCCAAAATTCTGGTTTGCTTCCCAGGCAGCCATTGGCATAATACTGTTATAGTTGATCTTAATTCATATATTAAAACTGCACTGAAAAAGCCTCCTTTTGGAGAACATGGATTTAGTTTCATTGCAGTCATTTAATTTTAGTGGTGTTTCTGAGAAAATAAAAGATAAAATCGACCAAAAAATAGCATGTGTGGGTTCTTTCAGTGAATGAAATGCTAAAACACAGCTTTGTGGATTGCCATCATATCTTTAACTCATTGCATGAACGTTTTGTGCGTGTATTTTACTTTGATAGATTTTCATATGCCTTAACTCTAACTTTCCTGAGGAAATCCTTAGGGTTATGGGTTACTTCCTATAATTTTAATATGACTAATACTTAATGGGGTGATACTGAGGGAAAGCTTGTGTTCCTTTAACCTTTTGCATGTCGCATACACATGCATTCTCAGGAATGCGAGTTCCATACCATTATTTAGGGATGTATAAGAATGCCCCTTTCATCCAACTCTGTTAGGAAAGCTGAGGGGGAACCTTGGTACATAGGTATGCTGCTAGTTCCTACGGACTTTTGCTGTTTTACAGGTATTTAGAAGGTTAATTTCAGGGGGTTCCTTTCCTTTGTGTTGCTATCTAATAGTACAATCCAGAATGGTGGAACACCAGAAATTTTAAAGGAGCCTCATCCTGGCTTGTGGTTTAGCTGTTGTACCCAATTGCAGGTATAGTAAATAGAACAGAGGTCCTGGCCTACATGTTTTACAGGAAAACTTTAGAATTTAAAATCAATTTGAGAAGTGGTCATATAAAAGGTCTTGGAATTAGCTTATAAATGACTACTGAGGTGAAGACAACAAATGCATTCATCGATCTCCATTTTAACTGGTATAAGCAGCATTAGGAACAACCATAAAGAAAGGACAGAACACTTTGTGAGGATCACTGAGTAAAAAATAAGTTTTGGGGTCATCACTCATAACTGAATCATTTTGTGATGCAGAATTAATGTAGAATTTCAGTGGCCTGGTTCTTGTAACTGAACAGCTCCATGTGCTGTATGTTTCTGTGTACATAAATGGAGAAGAGTAAGCAAGCAAAAACTGAATGTTTGGATTCAAAATTCCTTTTTTGCCATTACTATTCACCTATTAAAAAGTCTCACCTGAAATTTTAATCTTGATGGTAAACTAAAAATTGTCAAATCATAAATTTCAAGATGAAGATATGGTTGGTGTAAACGACATTTTAATTTAAGTATGTATTGAATTACAACTGTACATGTGAAAAGAAGGTGGCAAAAGCAAATAGAGGGTAGGCTCCTGGTGAAGCAGGGGGAACTAGAATGTGAAAGTAGATGCCAGCTTGAGAGAACAAAGATTATTAAATGAGGGAATTCAGGATCCTTAGGAAGAATAGGTTGGAGTACAGTAGAGTTAAGATAATGGTTTCCAGAAACCAGATTTCAGTATATTCAGACAAATGATTGGTAACACTCCAGAGGAAACAAATCTAAATGAAAAAAAGATTTCAGGAGATCTCCAGTTAGGTTAATGGCAATAAGCTGCTGAAAAGAACAAAACCTTTTACTTCTTATAGTATTATGAACGTCTTGAAATTAGACATCTGGCTAATGTCACACCAGTTTGTCCCTGGATTTAAGATATGCATTGTTCACTGTCATCTTGGTCATATTTTAGGTTTACGAAGAACTATTTTGGAGACACCATATTAGATATATACGACAAGTCAGAGGAGATAACTACTGTGCATTAAGAGCTGTTCTCTTTCGGGTATTCAGCCAGGGCATTTCTTTTCCCTCATGGATGAAGGAGAGAGACATTTTGAAAGTAAGCTTTTGTTTCCAAATTATGCAAAATGTAAATGACTCCGTACTTGAAGTTGGAATAGTTGATCTAGCAATTTCTTCTGTTATGCTGTTGTAACCCTAATACAAATTACTTTTCAACTGAAAAGGAGCATTGACTGCAGGGGAGAAAGTGAAAAGTTATGTACCATAAACAGTTATCCAAAGAAAGTGAAAGCAAGTCCCTTGTGTTTTCTTATTTTCAAGAGAAAAAGAACAAATGAAGTGTAGATTGTGTCTGAGGAAGCTTAAGTTATATGCCACTACTACTTATGCTATTAAGGCCCTTTGGTGTATGCTCTTGCTTTAAGCCCAGTTCCTGCTACTAGAGTTATTGACTGTGTGTGGTGGTTTCACACAACAAAGATGTTCTCATCTCCCAAAAGATTTACAGGTTTAAGTTTCTTGGTATAAGATACTTAAGAAGAAGATGCATTTGACCATGTGCTTTGGGTTTAATTAGTTAGAGCTCTCTTCCCTGCTGCCACTGCTTCTATCTTTTACTTACATGTACAATTTTCCACACCTGCACATGTCAGGATCAAGGCCAGATTGTTTTAGAGATGGATTTTATGGTACAGTAAAATCTTTGTTATCCAGAATTTAAGTAACCAGAAATTCTATTAACTGGAATTTCCAACTGGCTGGCCAGTATTTAGGCATGTTGTTCCCAATAAAATGACTAGGAGTGAGGTGCCTTAAGTATCTTATAAGTCTAGTCTTTTTAAGAGCTCACGGACTTTCAGTCCTGAAGCCTGTTGTTGTTCTATACCATGTGGTTCAATTTAAATTATTTTTTTAGTGCAAGTACCATATGGATGTAATTGCATTGATTGACAAGTATTCTATTTACTCAAATATAAGACAACCCTGAATATAAGATAATCCCCCTGTGGCAGTAGGCCACCTCTGTTTCTCCCCAAAAACTCTGCTCTGAGACAGTTTGGTTAGGATGGGCCCAGCAGAGGATACACACCTTACCCTATCTCTTTAGGTAACCTGGGCTGGATACATTCCTGAGGGAGGGGGGAAACCTGCTCCCTCTGCCTACATGACTGGCATCACATACCTGGGTGAGGGGCCTGGGCACCCTGGTGAGCTAGAGACTGCTAGTCTGCCCAGCAACTAGTGATGCATTTCAAATTGGTTAGCTGACAGCCAACAAGTGCTGGCCTCCATTTGGACAAGGTAAATGAGGTCATAAGGGCTATATAAGTTAAGGACTGCCTAGGAGGAGGGAGCAGTAGCCATGAGGAAGACTCAGAGAGAGAGAGAAAAGAGCTAGACCACCTGAAACTTGCTCTCTCTCTCAAAACTCATGATCAAGGAACTGCCTGCCTCCAGAGGGAATCTTCACCAGCCTCTGGATGATACTTGTGAGTAAGCTACCTGAGATCTAACTATATATATAGCTTGCAGTAACTCAGAGGCATGATTAAAGGCTACCCCAGCCACCTTGTTTGCTCTATGGGATTTCTCTGATACTACTAAACTCTGTACCCTATTTCAACCCTACCCCTTGTAACCAATAAAGTTCTTCTTTGTACCTAGCATGGGAGACTTATTGGGAGTGGGTCTAGATTATGCCTTGGGGTCCCCTCGGTTCGGCTGACTAAGGGAGACCAGTACTTGTGCTTCTGACTAAGGGAAGCACCCCAAGTTCTTGAAGTGAATCAAGTACCCTTGAGGGCTACTTGGCCTGTGTTTCCCAGGGGGCACAGAGCCAGAATCAAGCCCATCCCTGGGTTGTGACAGTTTTACCCCCAGGCTAGCGGGTGTGCTTCAGGAAGGGGGTCGGCCAGATGTGAGGCACCCCCAGGGAGGCATTTGGAGCCTGGAAGGTGGTCGGGTGCAGTGAGGTGGGTGACTCAATGCAGGAGCCCCCCCTATTGGCCCGCCATCCCCGCCAATAGTTAGTTTCTATATATGTAAAATTTATAAATTTGTTGTTATTTTCCAGGTACAGAACCTAATTATTGGAGGCTTGTCCCCTTCCCACTGCTACAGCAGGAAAAATAAATCTTCAAGAATCTGTTAGACCCCATTTTTCTCTGCCCCCCCATCTTCTTACCCCTGCAGCCCCTTCCCTCTCCCCCTTACTGTTAGACCTTCCTCTCTTGAACATGTGGAAATGAGAGAGAAATTTTGAAAATGCTGACCTTGAAATAAACATACCAATAATAATTTTCATATAGGAAAATTACTACTGGTTGCCATAGACGTAGCTCATCCAAAATCAGTGCATTTTACCTTCTTTTATACTGCTGAACATTTTAGCACAGGTACTCCATAAACACACTTTTGAGCAGCATTTTTGTATCTACTTGTACATGTAAGAACTATGCTTTTTTATATATAATTTCTAGGGCTGTCAATTAATCGCCATTAAGGTGCCCGATTAATGCTTTAATTTGTTCTTGCATTAACTTTTTTTTAACACGTTAATCGCTCATGTGGTTTTAGAGCTTGCACCCAGACTCCACTTTGCCACCATCACCACTGCCTCCAGGCCACCCAGTGGGGCAGTGGTAGCAGTGCAGAGGACCACAAGGCAGTCTGGGTGCAGGCTCCAGACTGCTAGAGCAAGACGGTGCGGGGGAGTGTGCACAGCTACAGAGACACACCGCCGCAGCATGCACACGGCCAAAAATACATCCCAGTGACATGTAGAGCATCACCCTTCCAGTAAGTTTGTAGAGGGGAAGGGGTGGGGGGGAGAGGTCAGGGGCAGGTGAGGGGCAGATTGAGGCTCCCACAGTGAGTGAGGGAGTGGGGGAGGAGCGAGGGTGAATGGGACTCTGGGGCTGGGGTGGGTCATGTGTCAAAGCCATGGATGACTCATCTAGGGGTGTGGGGGGTTGCCTCCTTGCCGCTGCACACATCTCTGGGGGAAGCATAGGAGCCATGTGCCCCCTGCATTTGTACGCAGAGCAGAGGCAGGCTGCTTGCTGCAGGCTGGGGCTCTGAGCCCTTTTGCCTTTGCCCTGGGAGCCACATGCTGGCCATGCATCCCCTGCCTGCCTGGCAATGGGAGGCAGGCATCTTACAACTCCCAGGGCAAAGGCAGCAGGGTGTAGAAGCACAGCCCCAGCCTGAAGCAGACAGCCCGCTTCTGCCTTGTGCCCAAATTCAGGCATGCCTCCCCCAGGGCTGCACACAGCGGTGGGGAGCTACCTCCCTCCCTGGGCCCCTAGACAAGTCTCCCATGGCTCTGTCACATGACCTGCCCTGGCCCCAGGGTCCCATTCACTCCAGCTCCTGTCCCTGTCCTTGTCTCATTCCCTCCCTCATGATGGGGGTCTCAATCTGCCCCCCCCTCACTTCTTCCCTTCCCCTCCACAGACTTACCTGCTGGGTGCTGCTCTACATGCCACTAGGCTGCATTCCTGTAGGGTTACTATATTTCCAGTTTCAAAAAAGAGGACACTTGTTGGGGAGGGCAATATGATTGTGGGAAGGGGTAATGATATGCCTGTGCTCCTGCCCCTCACTCCCAAACCACAGCCTCCCCCACCAGCTCTGCTGCTGCCCCTCACTCCTGACCCATGGTACCCCGCATCCTGCCAGAGCATGCGGGGGTCCCCCTTCCCCAGGCTCTAGACTCCCCTGTGGAGACCCCCCCGGTCCCCAGGCTCCAAACCCTACACACACACTCATAGCCCCCCATGCCTTCACAAATTCCCTCCACATGCACACACCTCACACCCACCCCCCAACCATACAAAGTACGTGCATAATTTTGAGGTTTTAGCTGTGCAATTAAAATTGCAATTAATTGTGAGTAATTTTTTTTAATCATGCAACTAATTGTGATCAATTTTTTTAACAGTTTGACAGCCCTAATGATTTTGTCTCTCAGGCCAGATCAGTCAAATTAGTTCCTAATTGCATCCACTGAGCAGAGCCCAGTCATTCAAGTCCATATAATGTTACTACCAGAAAGTATCTTCCCTCCCAGACTCTTCAGCTTGGGGTTTCAGATGCTCTCAAATCTATGGCAGGCATCCTACATGCAGGCCCCAAACCCATAGGTTTTAGGGTTTGGATGCCTCTGAGTCTCACTTGCCCTTAGCCAACAGGCCAGAGGAGCAGGCTAGGGAGAAATCCCCCATCTCCATAAAATAAAATAAGCATGTAGCCAAGTTCCTCCCACTGGTAGGCTATAGTAGATGCCCATGGGGAGAGGGGGCTCTGTTGGCGGTGCATTGAATAAGTCTCCACCTTTCACTACATAATGTCATTCAAGGTGAGCTGACCTTTGAGGGAAAAAAACACCTTTTTAAAATTCTATCGCATTTCCCCTGCCTGGTGAAAGATTTATGTGATCTGAAGAGAAACTTGGTACAGCTTTACCTCATGAAGGATGGGGCCACACTAATCCTATGTGACAGGCTGAGAGAGGGAGCAGTGCCCATCAGCATGTTTTTCCCATGGGGCCATGTATTTAATAATTATGCTTAGTGATGGCTGTATTTAATCAACTTCATTATTGGTTTCCAGTGCTAGACAATGTATTTAATAAGGTTACCTTGTATGTGAATGTAAGGTGAGGGCCCCCCCCCCCGCCATGCTGACTGAGGAGAAAAAACCCCACCTTACATTTGAGTAAATATGGTGTATTGACAGGTTATCTTCCCAGCTGTGTAGTCTAAATTCTTCAGCAGCAGCAGCAATCCCTTGCAATCAAGGATGATTGTCTTCCAAAATTGCCTTCTCTGTGGGTCTGAAGATGGCTGATGATCCAGGATTGACAGACTCTGTTGCAACTTGGGCACATGTTTCCATGCAGGGTGGGTGGCTCTGGATTCTTAATTTGGTCCACAACACGCTGTTTATGCTTTTCCATCTCTTGTTGTCATTGTAACATTTCAAAGTACTGAGATCCTTGCAGCGGACTCTTCCTCCATTTTGGGCGGTTGGGTGGTCTTTCAGGAGCTGATGTCGATTTTGCATTTTTTCAAGTTGGCCTTGAAGATATCCTTGAAGCACTTTCTCTGCTCTCCTCTTGAATGTACACTTTGACTGAGCTGGTAGAATAAAACTTGCTTCCAGAATCCGGAGTCAGACATTTGAATGATGTAGCTGGCCATGCAAAGTTGATGTTGGATGATCATCGCCTTGATGCTCATGGTGTTTGCAAGAGGATGCTAACGTTGAGGCATCTGCCTTCCCATTGCATTTGAAGGATCTTCTGCAGGCAGCGTTGATGGTACTTCTCCAATGACTTGAGGTGCCTCCTATATATTGTCCATGCCTCAGCTCCATGAAGTGAGGTGGGGACCATGACTGCCTGATAAATCATAAGCTTGGTTTTGGATCTGATGTCGTGATCGTAGAATACCAATTTCATCAGGCATCTGAAGACTGCACTTGTACATCTGAGGTGATGTTAGATTTCTTCGTCAATGTCAGCCTTCTGTGAGAGAGAGTGTCTAAAGTATGGGAAATGCTCAATGTTCTCCAGCATCTCACCATGAATCTGAATTACCAGACTTAGGGACTGCTCATTAACAGTTGACCTTAGTTTTCTGAATGTTAAGTGTCAATCCCATTTTCTTGTATGCCTTGGCAAAGACATCAACGAATACCCGAAGGTCTGCTTTGAAGTGAGCACACAACATCATCAGCGTTTTGGAGCTCAACGATTGATAGTCTAAATTAGAAATATCAGCAAGGGATTATGTACAAAAAAATCAATAAAATCCTAGAAAAATAGGATTGGAAAGAATTCAAGTCATCTAGGCCTACCACGTGCTCAAGGCAGAATCATCTCTTTGAAAATCTCAAAACAAATGTTTGTTCAGCCCGCGCTTAAATCTCCAGTAACAGAGATTCAACAACCTCTCCAGGTTTTTTCTACTAGAAATGGTAAACAAAATGGATCCTGTTTGTTATGAAGATAAAATGGCCACTCCAAAGCAAAGGTTGCAAACAACTTCCATTTAAAAAATCTGTATTTTTACTCCCTGTAATTTTGGCTTAAAAAATTGGTATGGCATGCAAGATTTTCATTTTTGTTCAGAAACAGAGAGATGGATGAATTAGAGTTGGATGAAAAATATGTTGAGAAGAGCTGTGACCTCTGTTTGGAGTCATAGATCACTTAAAAAAAAATCTAGATATGGAAAAGGCCAGATTAAGAGGAGCTGCACACCTACCAATGTAAAGCTACTTTTACTTGAGTTTCTTTGGCTGTCTTAAGTTAATGGGCTAGGTGTCAAATTCTTGTTTTAAATGGTGATGAGAGCATTTCCCCTTCCTTTGCCTGGTTGCCTATCAGAAGGAATCCTTATTAAGTCTTGAAGCGTCACTCCTAGTTGAAAAGACCATAGACCAGGGCTTTATATTTATTTATGGTTAAGTTTTTAGTGTATAATTTAAGACACGGCATCTCCTGTATCCAAGAACTGATTAAGTTATCCATTTCCTTCCTGTAGTAATCTTGCCCCGATTGTATATTTACAGCTCCCTGAAAAGCTTCTGTATTCACAAGGTTGCAACTGGATTCAGCAATATAGTTTTGGACCAGAAAGATATACAGGATCCAATGTATTTGGGAAGTTGCGCAAATGTATCGAAACATTAAAGGCAAATGTGAGTATCTAGAAAATGTAAAATGTTACATGGAAAATTAAACTGAGGAGAAATGTTTTGCTGCTACAGAAGCAGCTGGTTTTGGCTCGAAGCATCAATCCCCCACATTTCATTCAATGTTTGGACAACATTTTCTGGATTTCTAGGTGTGGACTTTGAGACTTTGAGATTAAGCCTAAATACTTCTTTGTATTACTGGGAATAGTAATGGTACTAGCCATTGAACTCTATCCTTCTGATAGAGAAGCTGCAGAGGCATGGAGTAATATTCCTTGAAATAACTTGGCAACTAGTAGCATAACTAGTAGGAGTGACCAGGGCACCAGCTCTGGGCATGGACTATAAGGGGGCACCAAAATGCTCCCTCCTGAGAGTCTTTGCCACAGCAGAGGCAGCCTATAGAGCCTGGGCAGGTGCAGCCCTGTATTCAGCAGTGTATCTGGGGAGCAGGGGCAAGCAGAATAGTGTTCTCCCTGGAAAGTCTTCACTGTAACAGGCACAGCCCTGGAACCAACAGCATACCTGTGTTGGTGACCAACACAGACTAAAGAGGAACTTACCAGAATATAAGATGCACCTTCTTGGTGAATTTTACCCCAAGAGTCTTATACTCTCTCCCCCATCAGCATCCTTTCACCTTAGTTGATCCCATAGCTAGAGATGTCCTTTCTCCCCACAAAGGGTTATGCTTTTGTTTTTCCCCCTAAGCCCCTGCAGAGTCTCTTAGGCTCTTGGGGTTTTTAAGACACAGCACTTGTTGATTCATCCCTTGAGTATGCTTCTGGGAAAATTGCACTCTTTTGAAGTCCAAGTTTTCCCTGCAGAGAGGTTGGAAAAAACTAGTTTATTTAAGAAGCAGTTATTTTTTGTTGTTCCCAGGTAGAATCTACTGCAATGTTCACAGGCTTTAACAACTGATGTATTCATGGACAGACATGTTAGCACAATTCTCCCTTCCTGTGCCTGTTCCAAGGCTGGCAGGGAACACCAGGAAGTACCAGTCAAGGAGAGAGAACCCATCTGCCCACTGCTGCTACAGCTAACCTGGGCTGAGCTCAGCCCCTGTGCCACCCAGATGGAGCAGCAGAGGACAGGTGTAAATGTTTACACCAACAAGTGGTCCCCTCACCCCCCAAAACAGTGTGGATAAGGGCAGCAGCAGGCAGGGGAGGGAAGGAGAGGGGATGTGCCTCTGAACATGGAGGGGAAGGGAGGGTGGGAATTGTTAACTTTTTGGGGGACTTGAAAAAATCTACAGCTGCTGTTTCTGCTGCATGGTCAGAAACAGGGACGTGGCCATGCTGCTGCACCCCCTTTGGATCTACCCCTTCTAGGAACCATCAATTTCCAGGTTTCTAAGGCAGCCCTAAACTGATGAGGTCCTGTCAATTTCAAGGCTGCCATTAGAGCTAGAAGTTGCTCTGAGAAATGAGGTAAAGAGCCTTAACAAGGTGTATAAAACTTTTCCCATGTTGCTCTGTGTAGTTTATGGGCACTGGTAACACCAAGGTCAGGTAAGTGCAGTTATTATGTTTTTCTAGTCCTGAGGCTTTACACTGTTATCTTTGTAAAACTAGCAATGTGGATTGTGATCGAATAGGGGTGCATAGGGTTATAAGTGCATGGACAAGTTACCTTGGGATGAATGAGGGCAAGGGTTTATGCCGCATCACCTGCTCCGCAGAAACAAGCCACGAGCATACATTCACAAATGGGGAGATGTATTAGGGAAAACTATAACAGTTTAGCTTCCGTTTTCCACAAATTAAGAGCATGCACATGATCATTTACAATCGAATAGCTAATGTGCCTTTGTGTTTAGTTGCCTTCACCTTCTTGAAATGAAAGGCTTTGAGTTCCATTATTGATCCTTAGAATTCTCCACCCATTTGCACTGTACTTAGGAAAATAGTAACTTACAGTCAAGAGGCCATTCTTTTTGTTTAAAGTACAATTAGTATAAAAAAATAAGGTGTATGAAATTCATTTGTAATGAGTCGAAGAGTTGGTTTTATTTTTCTTTCTGTATTCATTCCAGTGGACTGAAATAAGTGGGGTGAAAGACAAGGATGAAAGAGGAAACAAATGTAATATCCTTTTCTCTGATGAGAGCAAGGAGTACAAGCTATATGAGGCTATAAAATTCATCATGCTTTACCAAGTCATAGAAGCTTATGAACAGATGAAGAATGGTCAGGGACATGTACCCAGGCTTTTTAGCCTCCTGTTTGCTCGTGATACTTCATCTGACCCTTTGAGTTTCATGATGAATCATTTGAATCCATTGGGAGACACTGGTGGACTACAGCAGGTAAAGATGTACCCAAAAAATAAATTCTAACACTTAGTATATTTTGAAAGGGTTGGGATTAGGTAATTTAGGCTAACTTGGTGCCCCTAACTTACTATACTATAACAACATCTGTGAATAGAAGTGTATTATTTGCTTTGGGGAAAGAAAACTTAAACCAAGCCTCCCCCTTCTGCCCCCGCCCCTCCCCCCTCTGGAAAAATGCAGTTAAAAAGGGAAGAATACTTCTGAGTGTGTCCAAAATAAAATGCCCGATGATTTACCTATACATGATACCTAAAGCTGTGATGCCTTTAGTACTTGTAATACCCTTTACATAACAGCACCATGAATGTTTGATGTTTATTTAACCTATTTCTTCTATATCTTGAATAGAAATTTTCCAGAGTAGCTGCTTAACATGTATTGGCCCACATAAGGATTATTTCCTGAGGTATTGGTTGTGGAAGCTGACTTTAATAAGTTGGTACTGGTTGTGAAAATTTCTAGTCTGTTCTTAATATCACCCAAGGAAATATTTTAGACAACTTACCATACTTGAGCTTCATTAAACTATGGGTTTTAGTTGGTTTGTTTTACAGTACAGTCCTTTTTCCCCTCCCTCAGGTGGAAATGTTTCTTCTGGGATATTTACTTGAAGTAAAGATAAGAGTTTACAGACTGTGTAAGTTTAATACGGAAGAGTTTCAAGTAAACTATCCAGAGGAGTATCACAGGGAATGGCATGAGATCTATCTCCTGACTGAAGATGACCATCACTATCACATACCTATTATCAGTATATAAAACTGTTTTTAACTGTATACAGTTCAGGGTAAATTTATCCTGGTAAATTTATCTTCTTGAAATTAATCCCTTTGATTGAAACAGTGAGATTTTTTTAAAGTCTGTGAAAAATAAGATTGACTACGTGTTAACATAAACTTACGTAATAACTTACTTTCCCATACCAACCACATTTCAGCTGTCTGGATTTAAAAAGCACAAAACACAAAGCCTTCTGAAAGAGTTAAATTAAATTGTGTCACCTGTGGAGGGTCTGCTGGAGAATATTATTACTAGATAGCACATAGTCACTACTTCAGTTAAAACCTTTAGAAGTATTTGTGCATAAATCAACACAATTCCAAATGTTACCTACTTTGTGGTTGAGAAGGGTGCTTCCAGTAATAGAACTGAAGCATATGTGACCAACACAGCAGCCTGGGCATTGCCTATGTCAGGGGTGGGAGGAGTGCAAAAAATAGTCACCATCTCAGTGGTGGCTGACCACACCACAGCAGTCAACACTGCGCCATGTGTCAGTTGCCCTGTATGTGAAGCTGCCCTGCTAATAAATAGGGGCTTCAACTTCCCCAAATCCAGAAAGGCAATAGCAAAATGGCAGAACAGGCATTAAAATCTTACCCAGTATTTATCCCTTATCACTAAATTTTTAAGGGGTTGATCTCAATATTGCCTACCAAGAGGATATCAAGATTTCCATTACAGTAGGTTTGAGAACTATTCAGTTCAGTATACTTGGAAACGCTACATTTTCATAATATTCATCCTTATTACATATGTTTGGCAGAACTTGTACATATTCTAACCTTTTGTATATATCATTTAATCGCTGAGTGATGTTGTTATGTTTAGTGTTGAGCTCAATATTACTTATAGTTTCTGCAGGTCTAAAAAGAGTGTAGTATAGTAGGCAACTTCTCTTCAACTTCTGTGTGATTAAACAGTTTACACAAATATTCAATAAAAAATTATCTAAGAAAGTAGAAAAATAGTAGTTATCTTTAAAAAGTGAGGATTGCTTCCAGCGTAGAATTCTTAACACATTACTGTCTTTCTAAAAGATGAACTATAGTCTGACTTTTTGAAAAATGAGGGTGCCTAACTTAAATGAAAATTGAAGTGATAACACAGATTTTTTTAAAGAACTTGTTTTTCTGGACATGGACATTGTATTTAAGCTATAATTATCTGAGTTACTAATACTAGAACCAAACTAAACCTAGTAATATTATACTTAAAGAGAAAAATTGTAGTAAATAAGAAGCATCCAACTTTAAAAGATAATAAAACAGTTCCTATAGACACATTTCATGCATCTCTTGTTTTCATAAGAAATAATTTACCACAGTAACAAAATACTAAGTGACACCCTTAGGAGCAAAACAGATTATATAAAAATGACATTAAACCTCACATAATTGGAGTGCACAGCAAATTTTCTATTCTTTTATGTAAAGAAAAACAACTTTTCCCCTTAATTTTCTTTTATGTATTTATTTGTATATAAAACTTTCTTTTATATATATTTATAAAACAAACATGAATTGCTCCATTCTTCATTTGTTTTGTTTCCTGAAAGTTCAGGTGTTTTATTCAACAATTTGTAAGCTGTAATTAGAAGTGTTTGATATATGACCTTCTCTTATGTCATCAAAATCATATCTAATTACATTTTATTTATTAAAAGAAACTTTTTTTGATTTCAGCATGTTATTCATTTTTGTTTGATTTTTAATTTTCATAGGGGAATTTGGAGACCACAACTACTGTTTATTCATGGTGTTTGTTCAGCACTGACAGTGTACTTAGCCATTATGCACATGCCTTTTGCCATTCTAATATTACACTCTAGTTACGATGCAGACAGTCATGAAGAAATATCATACTTTGACTTGGGATCTTTAGGAAACATATTTGCCTCTGGTTTATTGCTTTCAGACTGTAGCAGCACCCAGGGTAGCTAGTTTAAAGTTAGTCTGAGTGTGTCTTCATGAGTTGCAGTCACTGCAGTATAAATGTAACCAAGCACCAGAAAAGATGAACTGGTAATAGTATGAAAGTGGAAAGTAAATTAGTGGCTAGAAGTCCTAGAGTACTCACCTACACCAAAAAAAGTCTGTAATTAATGGAAGCCACTCCAAATAACTACAGAAGCTGTTTCATGTTGTAGCATAGATTTATACAGGTTAACCCAAACTTGGAATTATGGGATATCCCTTTCTCACATAAAGCGCACAAAGCTCTGATCTCTGAAGCAAGAACTTTCATAATCACCTCAAAACACTTAAAATACAAGTAATATCATAAGATTACAGGGGTCTGTGATAGAGAATATGTATCCTTTTACCTATCCAGTAGATGGCATACAAGATTAAGAAAAGTTTGTTTTTCTGGATGCTTCTATTATTTCCTAGCATTATGTTGTTCTTATGTGATGTTGTGAGTTAAAATGTATAATGCTAGCAGGATTATCCAAGGAGTCCTTAGTTTGGTTCTTTCTCAGTTTTCCCTTTACTCACTGAACAAGAGTGATGAGTATCTACAGTCTGCTGTAAATTTGGTGATATTTCTTTAATTTTGAAATTTAAAGTTTATTTTACATTAATTAAAGGGTAACATACCATTCTGTCAGCATGTATAGGATATTATTGTTTACCAGTTTCTAATTATTAAATAGTTTTAGGGTTCATTGTAAAGCTAACATCTTAATTCCAAATATTTAGAATACTTTTTTGCTAGTCTAGTATGTTATTCTAATGACTCCAAATAGTCTTCTAATAAATTTTTAATCTTAAATTCTGCATTACATGCCTTTACTCAATAATGTATATTCATCCCCACACCAATAAGTGCTTGTGCTAATAATGTTTTATTCCTAAACTAAAAATACATATCAAAACAAGGTTTTAATAAATACATCCTATACAATCAAGCACTTCCTACACTGAATTCAAAGTACAATGCCTTGTTTATAAGAAAAGTGATTAGTAGATATGCTTTTAAGTTTTATCAGAATCTAAATGGTGGATTATTTAAAAATTAAGCTTAATAGAAAAAATTGTGGGCTAATTTGTTGTTTAGCAAACTTTTAATAGGTACCAAAATTATGGGAATGGTCCTAGGTTGTTGAAATATCAGGAAATTTTCTCAAAAATAAATATGAAAGGTAATTGTAGCTCTAAGGCTTCAACATTTGACTGATAAGCATCATAAAAGACCCATCAGTGTGAGCTTTAACATCAAGCAGGATGTTTTATTTGCCTTTGTACAGAGGCTTCAATTATAACTTTCTTTTAAGTAAATGTTAATACAAGAGTTCAAAAGAGATTTATGTTGGAATTAAATACCTTCTGAGGTCCATGGAGTTGCATCTTAATTTTCAAATTTAATACATTATATTAAATCACTGTTTTAGCTATCCACACTGTGAGAACAAAGATTTAAGTAAAGAAAAGGTCAGAGAAGTAGGAGTAGAGGTTGATTTTTCTCTTTTGTTGCTTTGAGAGAGAGAGAGAGAGAGAGAGAGAGAGAAATAATTTATTTGTTAATTTATTAATTTTTGCAATATTTGAGAGTTCAAGATGACTGGATGTTTGGAGGAGGAGAGTTGGAAGGTAAGTAAAGTTGGGAAAGTTTACTTCACTCTTATCAGGGAAAGAGAAAAAATAGAAGGTTGGGAAAGTGAGAGTAAGGGTGTGGGCTGAGGAGGGTGGAATTGGTGAGGGTGAAGAGTGTGGTTTGTCTTGTTTTCTGCAGAATGATTGAGAACATGAATGGGAATGGTGATTCCCCCATTCAGACAGTGAAGATCTACAGATATAAGACCTAGGGTACAGCACACAAGATATGAGGGGGAAAGAATGAGAAGTTTGAATAAGGGCAAAGAGTAGCCTTAGGAAGGAGGGTTTGGAAGAGAAAGGATGAAGAAAAGAAAATGAGGACAGAGTAGCAGGAATAGAATTAGGCCTCTGCAAAACAGGGAAGCATCCCCCTGCCCCACCTCCCTACAGGACTACAAGGAAAGAAAAAAAAATGTTGGTAACTTAAAACATTAGGGAATATGGGAAGTTAAGGGACAGTAAAGAAATAATGGGTAGAGACCTTTCTTAAGCCCTGGATTTTGGGTACCTAGAGAGATGGAACTCTCTCCTTCTTCCATGGAAGATAAAAAATAAAGGCAGCTCAAGCCAGATTTTATTACATCAATTATAATTATTTTACCAAGGGGAAAGTTTATCTATTGGGTGATATCTTTTATGGGACCAAATGCATAGGAAAAGCAGGCACAGCAAAAAATGAAAAAATAAGCCTGTGAAAATGGAGAAGAGGGACATTCCCATGAATAGCAGACAAACAAATCACAGAGGATAGCTTGATTGGTGGAAGATTAAGAAAGAGGATTGTTGTCACCTGTAGTTTGAAGGCAGATTATCTGGAGTCAGGTAGATTATAATATGCCATAAAGTCAATATCAGTGTTCAGTTCTTGGCTTTATGTGTCCAGTCAGCTTATGAATTATTTGCACCTTTGTGACAATGTTTTGTAAATTTCTCTTGAATATGAGGATAGTGAAGTCAGAACATAAATGGTTATTTTATATTGTAATAGGTTTCTGTAGGGTATATGGGTAGATCTTTCAAAGATATGGTCCATATTTGTTGGAGTGTCCTTGCTGTATAAAGGTAGATTTCAGGTTGGCAAAATGGGAATCATGAGTATTCTCAGACCAGATGTAGTATATCCCTGGGAATTTCTCTCTTCCATTTCACAGCCCTGAAAAACTGTTTTTAGTCTTTCACTGTGCCTGCTTTTCCCTTAGCCCTGAAGGAGAATGCATTGCAGTCAGTCTAATAAAAGATATCATTCACAGATACCCTTGCCTCTTGCCTGTTTCCTGGACCATGTTTTGACTTGGTCAAAACCAGTTGTAGCTTCTGACATAGCAGGTGCAATTTAGCCTTTAAAGGCTAGTGTGACAAATTATGAGATGGTATCTATGGCAAGCATGAAGCCACGAGGAAGAACTTATTCGGAGCTGGTGATGAGCAGAGCCAGCAGGACACTGCACCGAGCTGGGAGCACAGCAGAAGTGAAGCCATGGCAGAAAAAAACGCCGCGCCAAAGGAGGGAAAAGAAAAAGAACAATGGATCTGGGAAGAGCTGGCCCAGCTCCTGCACTGACATGGTCACACTTTATGGTCACACGTCGGTGCTGATTCACCTGTCAGCCCCTTGAAGCTGGGATAAAAAGCCAGGCAGAGGAGAGATGGGGGGACCAGAAGTGTGTTCTCCGGTGAGCCCAGAGTGACCCTGAGCAGAGCAGAGCCCCACAAAGGAAAAGTGGAGGGGGCCTCCAAAGATAAGTTGAGCCCAAGCAGGCTGAATGACTTACCTGAAACAATGCCATGGACTCCAGACATCTCTGGACTGGATTAGACCGAGCAGGAACCC